TGTGTGTGTGTGTGTGTGTGTGTGTTGAATGCCCGGTAATTGTCGCCATATCTGGGCTGAAAGTTGTGCAAAATACAGCTATAATGACCGGGCTTTATATTCGGGTGAAGACGGTAGCTCAGTTGTTACACTCCACGTTCTTAAGCCCTCACCTTCTTAAGAATATATCTGAACGCGGACCTGAGTTCAAACCCCAGTCGATGCACATGAGCAAAATACGAAAAGTCGAAACGTATACTGTAGATCAGGCAAACAAAATGGTTTCCTATAGATCAGGCAGGTTTCATACAAAGCAGGAACATAGTGGACAATGCCGTGACCCATTCGATGAATCGAGAAGAAAGGTAACGGAGTGGAGAAATGAAAGTAGCTATTCGTTTCTTCAACCCTGAAAAGTGTACGATGAAGTCCATGGAATGCCAGCTGATGGCATCGAACGCGGAGGTCGTGACCTCAGCAACGGGCTTGGACTGTGGGGTCAGAGATGTTCTGACAATAATCAATGGTGTCATGCCCGCATACCAGCCTGCGTATCTGTGGACTAAAAGCACTTCTCAGAATCATTGAGGCTTTCCTTCTTGTTGTTGTTGTTGTTGGTGGTGGTGGTGGTGCTGGTGGTGCTGGTGGTGCTGGTGGTGCTGGTGGTGCTGGTGGTGGTGCTGGTGGTGTTCCTCTGTTTACAAAGATGGACAGAAGGTTGCTGCGGAGAGATTGTCGCACACTGAAAGTTGTTGCAATGTTGCAGCGAGACGACTGCCAACGCAACAACGGCAACATTGTTTTGGAAAGAGCAGTGTGCAACATCGGTCAGCAGCATGCAAAAGCAGCGTGCAATACTGTGCAAAAGTTTTGTACTGCTTTTGCATGATGAAAGTTGTTGCAATGTTGCAGCGCAGAAAATTGCACAGCTGAAAGTTGCAACGATGTTGCAAAGTTGCAGCGAGAGATGACTGCCAGTGAATCAATGTTTCGCAAAACGCATCGTGCAACATCACGCAACAGCATGCAAAAACAGTGTCCAACACCGTGTAATGTGTGCCATGCTATTGCGTGATGTTGTGCACATCTCGCTGACATAAAACGACGTGCACGCTATTGCGTGATGTTGCGCACATCTCGCTGACATGAAGCGATGTGCATGCTGCTACGTGATGTTTGTACGCTGACATGAAAAAAAAAAAAAAAAAAAAAAAACAACAACAACAACAACAACAACAACAACAACAACAACAACAGCACACAACAGAGTGCAAAAGCAGCATCCCATGAAGGGAGATTGGTGAAAATTGCTTCTGGCGTGTTACAGCTTACTAACATTCTTTTTAGAAAAAAAAAAAAAAAAGCTTACTAACGTGCGACAACTGTTTCAACTTTCAACGATGACTGCAAGGGTTTATGTCACTTTATGTCACTTTATGACAATGTAATTGTTCATGGAACCACTATAGAAATCATTTGGACTATTTTTCCTAGTATTATACTAATGTTCATTGCAATACCATCATTTGCTCTATTATATTCCATGGATGAGGTAGTAGATCCTGCAATTACTATCAAAGTGATTGGACATCTGTATCAATTTACTCGCTGACCCATTATGCAAAAGGTACGCCGTTAACCTTTGCAGATCCATCATCCATTGATTGATGATGCATCTTTCAGCCTTCGACTGATTGCTTGCATCGGGTTTCAGGTTTTCTATTTCACTCCCTTTCTTAGGGTTCTTTTCACCTTTCCCTCACGGTACTTGTACACTATCGGTCACTGAGAAATACTTAGGYTTAGAGGGTGGTCCCCCACAGAATTCAAACACGGCGCGCGTTTTACTTACTTCTTGAAATGAAAACCATTGGACAAAATATACAGGGCTATCACCTTCTCTGGCAAGACTTTCCAATCTTTTCTAATTTGCTTGGATGGTATTTAGAGCCTAAYCCGCGTTCGCTCGCCACTACTAACGGAGTYTCGGTTGATGTGCTTTCCTTTAGCTACTTAGATGTTTCAGTTCGCTAAGTCAACTTCGTTGCGGTTTCCCGATAGGAAATCCATGGATCAAAGAGAGCTTCTCCCCATTTTTGTTTCAAGCCCGCAGTTTCTTGATAAGCAAAAAAACACTAGCAAACGTGTGAACGAGCGGTCAGTTGCGAGCGAGTTTGGTAATGGTTTGTTAGAGAAGAGGGGACGATCGATACGCCTGTCAGCGAGCCGTCAACAGTTGATTTGTTTTCCTTTTCTTCGCTCCTGTCCTGTGTGTGTGTAAATCTTGCTCTTTTCACGGTTGCATTGTTGCCGCTGTTGCGGTTATGGTGGTTGCAGTTGATTATCAAGGCTCGGCCTCAACGGAACATCAACGTCCAGAACTTCTACCTCTATACCTTTGGTATACTGTTCAATCTATTCATTATCTTCGTACATGATTATCATGACATCGCGGACAAGTAAGTGTAACTATAACTACTTATAGCTTGCTTCAGCCCGCCTTGTGATTTTCAATTCACTGCTCATAAAGGCTGTGCGACGTTTGCAGAACTTTGCATCTTCCCTCCCCATTCTCCCATGGCTTGCTATGAAACGAAAACAGTGTCAAAACACCGCTCCACGTTCAGTGTGTCCATGCTCTCCATGTCCGCATCAGCGTGTCCACGCTCCATACCCATGTACTATGTCCGAGCACCACGCCATGTGCTCTGTCACCTCTGTCTTTGTAATGATTACGGTGGGGCTTGCCGGGACCCCACGTTCCATGTCGATGCACTACATCCATGCACAACGCGCATGTACTATGTCCATGCACAACACAAATGTACTATATCCGTGCACAACACGCATGTACTATGCACCATGTACTATGCACTATGTACTATGTACTACATGTACTATATGTACTATATGTACTATATGTCGTATGTACTATATGTACTATATCTACTATATGTAGTATGTACTATGTGCTATGTCTATGCGCTGTGTGCGTGTACTCTGGGCTGACCAGGACCTTGACAGGGACCTTGCCTGGACCTTGCAGCCAGGCCACCTGGGTCAGGAGGCAGTGATAGCCCAAGCTGCCATGCTGGCAGCCCACATTTCAGGCCAGCCAGAATGGCACTTTTTAAGTCTTTTTTACCTATTTAATATTCATGCAATTCTTCGTTGTATAGACGAATAAATTAGGTGGTGTTGCTGCAATAGGTCTTCCCTTTGTTTGAAAATGTTTCACTTTTTGGCAGTTTTTGCTTTACCTTTTATTAACACTTCATAATAAGTTAATGACCATTAATAGGTTCGTAAGACTTCATATGTATGAAGCTCAACTTTCGCAAGGAAGAGAGAGAGAGAGAGAGAGAGAGAGAGAGAGAGAAAAAAAAAAAAAAAAAGAAGGTTTGAGGTCATTTGGTCAGGGCAGTTTGGTCAAACTTCTAAATTGGTCAAACTTCCCGAATTGGCCATCGGAGGTCTCGGGGACGAACACATCTTTTCAATCGTCGCCGTGTTTGCCTGCATCTGATCGCAATCCCCATCAGGTGCATGGTCTCTTTGAAGTTTGAAGTTTGAACTCAAGCCAGCATATTCTGTCTACGTAAACGCTGTTTGTTTGTTTGTTTGTTTTTTAACTTAAACGCTGTTTTCGAAGTCAGCTTGCAACAAATCATTCTGTCAGAAAAAAGAAAAGAAAAAAACTTTAAAAAAGCACTTTTGTCTTTAGCTGAAGACAGTCAGCTTATGGACTTTTTTTTTTTTGGGGGGGGGGACCACCTCAAACATTTATCGACTCACACGTGTCATCGTCAAAAATGCAGTGACCATGGTCACCATGCTAATCTTCTCGGCAGCACTCCAATTTCGACAGATGTCCCGACGACTACAAGGCTGATTGTCACTCAAGTGCTTTGAAGATCCTCGCTCAAAACACGCAGGGGTACTGCAATCACCCCCACAAACAGAGGATGATGGTCAGGGTGCTAACATCCCAACTTCCCAAAGTCGAAAGGGAAACGGCCTAGAGGCTAGATCATACATTGAACCGAGCCTCTTTTTTACGAGGCAGATTCCCCCACTGCGCTCCAAGCTTTGCCGAAACGCCAGCCCGGCGTTTTTGAATTCAGAGCTTCAGAAGAAGAACCATTGGGCCGTCGGCGCCTTGTTGACGCCGCATGCGTGGGGGTAAAACCCGCCAGCCTTGCTGACACCGGATGCATGGGTGTGAAGTGGGATTCCAATTTCGAACCCTCGACCATTAATTAAGGAAAACTATGTTGAGGGCAGTGAATTGCATAACAACAATGAAGGACAGCTGTGAAGCATGGTGAATTACATTACCTAAGGTTAATTAATAATTAATAATTATGTAACTCGCACTTCTGCATGAAGCTGGTCCGTGAGGCGTGGTGGGTTGAGCAGCAGTGTTTCTAGAACAACAAAAGATTAATTCCGATAATAAATTAATAATAGAATATATTAGCCTAAAACATTGTTATAGTGTAATGCGATATAAATTTATGAATATAACAAATGCACGTAAATAAAAATATTAAAAAAGGATTTTGTTTTCTTTTAAAGCTACACCATATTCGTCTCTCACATTCTGTTTTCTCCTTTCACTACCTGCCTACTCCTCCTCCTAAGGCTATACAGGGGACCCCTGCAAGCATTGTGAGGTAGCTATGCTTGCAGGCGCCCCCTATATCGCCTTAGGAAAGGATACTATTATAATGTGGTGAGCCAGGCTACCAGAGTGGGCCGGGGTCACTTGCCCGGCCAGGCCAAAAATATATGTATATTATATATATTTGAATTTTATTTTTTATTCTAAATTTGGTGAAGAATTTCGATGTGACCCTGGGGCAAAAGTTGTTCAGTTTATTTTTCTCCATAACATAGTTTTGTTTTGGATTTTTTGGATTTTTTTTTTTCCCCCCCCTAGTCCTTGCACGGGCTGGCCACCCGGGACCCGGGCGGCCCGGCTAGTAGCCTAGGTGGTGAGTCTATTTTAACTAATTATTAGTAATTTATTACCTTATTAATATACATTTATTTACTGGAATCGCTTTTTCTTTCCGTTCTATATATAACACATTCCACATTTTTGCACTGATGGGCATTCATATTACATACCCTTGTCATTTTCTGACACCAGGGGTTACTTCCATGGCTACTCGATAATAACTGTTGCAATGATTCTCAACCATGGCCTCAGGTACTTCTCCTCTCCCTTACGAGCCCTCAGAGCAGAAAGAGCTTGCCTGCCTCTTCTACTTCTCCTCTTCTCCTCTTCTCCTCGTCTCCTGTGAATGGGCTTAGGTATTTCTTCCTTCCCTTCCCAGCATGAATTGCATGCTAACAAATAGCCTAGCTCAGTTGGTACACCCCTGCACTGTTGAAATACGGACCAGGTGCAGAGTTCGAACTCCATTGGAAGCAGATGAGTGAAATACTTTTTTTTTTTTTTTTTTTTTTTGGGAGACGATGCTCCAGTGAAATACTACAACTCTGAATTATTACCTACGGCTGGTCAGTTCGATGATGAT